ATTATAATATTGGTTTTTCATCATCTTTCCTGCTACCCAATTTTTATTTGGAACCTATCGTTACTTTGTTCAACAAACTGTTAGTCTCTTCCCCCATATTAGTACAGTAGAATAATTAATTTTATCTATCAGATACTCTGAACCTGTTCACTTAGATAGGATTATTGAAGAAACTTTTCAAGCATTTAATATTTATTATAATTTTGTTTTTGACCCTGCAGATATAGAAATTATTGAATCTTTCTCTTCTCTTAATATTCCGCTTATTACCTAACCAATTGAGAATAATTTATTTGAAGATACAAGTTTTAATTTATCTGAACATATTTTAAATACTCCTAACATCATTCTTAACAATTCCCTTATTAATTATTTATTCAATAATAAAGATTTAAATTTAGATTTATTATTCAAAAACCCAATACTTTAAATATCATGGCAACTATACAAAACGTGTTTGATTACTTAAAGGCCAAAAACAATGCTCAAGTCCTTTGAGTAAAACCATTCTTTGGAGATAGAACTCAAGATCCTTTGATCTGGTTTTTTACCTTTACTAAAGCAAGTCAAGTGAATGCATGGGAACAAATGAAAAAGATACAAAAACTAGCTGCCCACCTTTAGGATGAAGCTGAAGATTGGTGGATTAAATATGTTACTACCAATGGAACTGATTATACTAGAGATCTTTACAGACCAGCAGACCTTGAAGAAGTATTCAAAGACAAGTTCTGTACTTAACGATGGCAAAACAAATGGCTTAAAGATTTAGAAGGAAGAAAACAAGGCCCTTCCAAATCTGTGGATTCTTACTATATAGACTTTAAGAAACTTATTAAATGAATAGACCTTGAAGAAAACATGTCAAGCCTCTAAAAACTTCACCATTTTCTCAGAGAACTAAGACCCGAAGTTGTTCCTCTTGTGGCTATAAATGCTTCTGCAGATATTGCTGTAGCATTACAATTTGCCTAACAATATGAAAACGGTTAAGACCTTATTAACTATGAACAACTTATTAGAGCCAAACCAGAAAAGACTTTTGAATTCAAAAATAAAGAAATTCCTCGATATTCTATGGATAATCTTATCCAGAAGTTCGAAAAGATGCATCTAAAGCTTGCAGCCCAAATTGAGGACATTTCTGCCAAAGTTGAAAGAAAAAGCAAGCCTTATTACAAGCCTGATACATCTAGGTCATCACTAGTATACACATCACAAAGAGATACAAAAACTTGTTTCAAGTGTGACCAAGTAGGACATATTTCCTGGGATTGCTTATCTGAAAGACCTATGCCCTCCCAGCAATATTAATAACAAAACCGATATATCAAGAAAGACAAACGTGTAAACTATTTTACAATTGAAGATACCTTTGATAAGAAAGCATCCAGTGAGGAAGAAGAACTTGTATATGTGGGACAAAAAGTCAGACCCCAATCCTATACTATCAATCGAAAAGAACAGAAAGAAAAAGTTAAATAATCAGAATCAGCAAAAGAATTTAATCTGCGATTAAAGAAAAATACTACTTAACCGATGGAAATAGAAGACCCATTTGTCTATTATCAACCTCCTTTAGTACAACCTATCTCATCCAAGACAAAGAAGCCAAATTGAAATCTCAACTGTCTGTGGTTAATCAGCTTACACTATATGATGTTTCTGAAGACATTCTCAAGTTACTATCAAGTGTTACTGTGAGACAAATGTTTCAATATCCTAACCAACGAAAGAATCTTGTCAAGATTCTCAAGAGACCAAAGAAGACAGTTGAAACCAACTATCTGCAATCAGAAAATGACTTCAGAAAAACTTTATCAGCTAAATGCTATGTCAGAATTAAAGGAAATCCAGTGATCGCCATCCTTGATTCAGGAGCTGTAATCAGTATCATCACAAACAAACTGATGCATAAGTTAAGATTGGAACCAGATACTCTATTCAAAACTATTGTAGTCATTACCAATGGAAACAAAGTCTGTACATTGGGTCAGATTACTAAAGTTCAAATCTGTATTCAAGATCTAATTATCTTGATCAAGCTCTAAGTTATTGAATCTCAAGAGGAAACTCTTCTTTTGGAAATTGATTAGTTCCAAAAGATGAGAGCCAAGTAGGATTTGATTCCCAAACCTTACAGATTCAACATTAGAACAAAACTGTCAAGATTGCAACTATTCACTTCACTGATAAAACACTTCAGTATATCACAGATTCAGAAAACAGTAGTGATAAACTTGAAGAGATTGAATACAATGATGAAGATTTGAAAGAACAAAGAGACCTACTACTCTGACTATACTAAAAGAAATAAGAAACATGAAGAAATTGAAGAACTTGAAGTCCAGATTGAAGAAAATCCAGTGATCTACCTCTCTGATTACATGATTAATCAAGAAGCAACACTTGAAATTAATCTAATAACTGATAAACAACAAGAAGTAGTTGATCAAATTATAAAAGAAAATGAAGATGTGTTTGTAGAACATATTTCTAAAAAAGGCCAAACTCAAGATCTAGAAAGAACTACTGTAATTACACATTCCATTGATACAGAAAATACAAAACCTATCAAGCAACGTGCATATAGAATATCACCAGATCAACAAGAATTCATTAGAAGTGAAATTGGTGAAATGATAAAGAAAGAAATCATCAGTCTTATCTCTAGCCCTTGGGCATCTCCAATTGTAATTGTATCAAAGAAAAATAGCAAGAAACGATTTTGTGTAGATTTCCGAAAATTAAATAAAGTTATAGAAAAAGATGTCTACCCTCTTCCAGTGATTGATGACCTTCTAGATTCCTTCCAAGGTGCCAAATGGTTTACCTGTCTTGATTTAACAAGTGGATATTGACAAGTAACCATGAGCAATGAAAATAAAAAGAAAACAGCTTTCATCACAAAATATAAACTCTATGAGTTTAATGTTATGCCTTTTGGATCGTGCAATGCTCCTGCTACTTTCCAATATCTCATGAATAAACTTCTTGAACCTTACAAAAGAAATTTTGTTGAAGTATACTTACTATCTTTTCTAGAACATTTCAAGATCACCGCAATTATGTAAATATAATCTTAGATGTTCTTCGTCAAGCAAACCTGAAACTGAACATGGAAAAGTGCCATTTCTTTCTTGCCAGTGTTAAACTTTTGGAACATGAAATCAGCCGTAATGGAATTATGCCAGATTATGACAATATTATCAAAGTTAGAGACTTCCCAAGATCAATGAATGTCAGATAACTCAAAGAATTCTTAGGATTAGCATTCTACTATCGAAAATTTATTGTTAACTTCTCAACTATCACCAAATCATTAAATGAACTTTTGGAAAAACAAGTACTTTTTGAATGAACTGAAAAACAGGAAAAATCATTTCAAATGCTAAAACGATATTTAATTTCTATATTAATCTTGAGATATCCCAATTTCAATTAATCATTTTATCTTTATACTGATGTTTCTGGTACTGAATTGGGAGCAGTACTTGCTCAACGAGAAGAAAAACAAGAACATTCCATCACATATGCTAGCAGAAGTTTGACCAAACCTGAGCGAAACTATTCTACTACTGAACAAGAATGTCTACCAGTTATCTGGGCTGTTAAACATTTTCATCAATATTTTGGAACTAATCACTTTTATCTAGTAACTGACCACTTTGCACTCCAATGGTTAAAAACATCTGAACTTAAAAGAAGAAAAGCTAGATGAATCCTATAACTAGAACCCTACAACTATACTGTTATTCATAGAGCAGAAATAAAGCACAATAATGCTGATGCCATGTCACGCATATATGAAGCAGAAGAATCTATCTATATGTTCCAAGAAGAAGATAATAATTGAAACTATGATCATAGCTTTGCAACTGCCAATTCTGTTGCATCTTATACTTCTGATCATGAAGAATCACTCTACAAAGTTGAATAGTTTATTGTAGGAAGATACTGTCCTATCTGCAAAGAAAGAGCTAAAGACCATCATACTCATACCTTCTGCAATTGATATAAGAAATTATCTGATTGAAACAAATATTCTTTTAAAGATGAATGTGCCTATAAAAAAAAACAAAGAGCAAATGATATTCAATCGATGATAACTCAATCCCCTCAAATCATTCTAGATGAAATTTGCCCATGCCCTCTTTCAAAAAGAAAATTTCAACATCAACTTTGTGATTATAACTTCCATCAAATTCCAAGAACAAGATTAAGTGATGAAGAATTTGAAGAACAAGTCCAACTGTCTAACAATTACAGGTGGTTACCAAAACTTGAACAACCTTCCAAACGATATAGAAAAGAATTTACTAACTATTCCGAAAACTATCTTTGCAATTCAATTTGGTAGACAGATGCCAATTCTGTTATCTACTATTAAAACCTTCTTGAAGAAACAATCAAAGAAATCTGATGTAAAACAGAATCCAGACCAGATAGTCGATGTCCTGGCATCCAAACTTTAACAACATGGAAACATAATATTATCAATTGAAATATTATATTCTTAACAACAATCTACCAGCAAAAATAGATAACAATTAACAAAAACATTTACAATCACAAAGCAAATTTTTCAAAGTCAAAAACAATCAACTTTACAAGAAAGACAGAAGAAGAAAAACTCAAAACCAACTACTCAAAGTTATCCAAAAACATGAAATTGAAGCAATACTTTATTTGATACATAATCATCTTACTGGTGCACATTTGGGAATTGACAAAACCTTTGAAAAAATTTGTGATCAATACTACTGGCTGCAGATGTTCAAAAATATTAAAGATTACATCTGATAATGTGATCAGTGCCAAAAACGTGGAAGATACAGAACACCAAAACCCTTGTATCTCATTCCTGTTGAAGAACCTTTTTTTCAGAATTGAAATAGATATTGTAGGACCTTTACCAATCACCAAACAAGGAAACAAGTATATTATTGTTGCAACAGATTACTTCATCAAATGGCTTGAAGCAGAAGCAATCTCTGAAGCTACTGGAAAACATGTAGCAGAATTCATCTATCAAGTCATTATCTGTAGACATGAATGCCCAAAACAAATTCTGTCTGATAGAGAAACTTATTTTCAAAATGAAATAGTAGATGGATTACTCAAACAATTTGAGATAAAACAGTTATTATCCATGCCATAGCATCCTCAAATCAATGGATTGGTTGAATGATTTAATAGAACCTTGTATAAGTTACTTGCAAAGTTAACTGAAGGCAAAGAAAATTGGGACCAACACATTTCGACAGTACTTTTTGCTTATAGAACATCAAAACAATCTTCTACGAAAATGACACCATTTTATTTATTTTATAGACGCAAATCTCAAATACCTACAACAAACATGGATGCAATATTGCAACCAACAATTCTTGACTGATTGTATACTTTATTAGAAGAACTTTCACAACAACAGAAACAAGCAAGAAGAAATATTTACAAGAAATAACAGAGACAAAAACAAAGGTTTGATCAAAAAGTAACAAAGTATAAAAAGTTCAAAATCGGGGATAAGATATTAATGTATAATGCTGCCAGAGACAAACATTTCATAGAAAAACTAAAACCGAAATGGAAAGGACTTTTCTACATCTATAATGTCTTGCTCAATGATGTCTTCAAGCTTAGAATAATAGAAGGAAAAGTTCTTGCCACCCCTATCAACCTCTTTTGCTTGAAATCGTATTTTGACTGATTAGCATAGGAACCTAGCATACACATATAGGAAGAAGCATTCTTTAGCTACTGAAGAGTTCAGTACCCAGGTTACATAATGTGGATGCAGATGCTTAAGTAACCCAGTCCTTCATTTGTACCAAACCCAACACAAGTATTACTGAATCCTTGAACGAAAAAGAAGACCTAAAGAAACTAAACAAACAAACAAAATATGCAATGTAATGAAAGTGGCCTACAGAGCACTCCCTGTCCATTACAGCTGGCCCACAAAGTATACTTAGCAACTACTACGTCTCCCACAATGAATTCACAAACTTTGAAAAAGAAGATACAAGAAAAATAAAATAAAAAGCAAACCTCTAGTTAAACGAACAAGAAGTAAAAGACCTGTTAAAGGGAGCAGGTGCAGGATTTCCTAGCAGATGAAGAAGACTTCCAGATGAGATACTTTGTTCCTCAAATTCAAGTTCTCCAACTCTAAATCCCTATTGAGGTCGTGAAGGGAGTGTGCATTCTGAAGTGTCTCCAATTCTCTTCTTAATCTTTTCACCTTAGGTTCCAAAGGCCTGAACCTATTTTCTTGACGAACTTGATGCTTCAAGACCCTGACCCTTTCTTAAAGCAAAATGATTGTCTCCCAGGATGGATCCTTGAAACCAGAGTGAGTTAGGCAAGCATTTTTTGACAAATAATTTTCTCTTGACATTTTCTGAAGAATTTTGAGTTGATAATTACCTGCCAAACGATTTTCAAGAAGATCTTAAGTATACAATATGGTGAAACCTCAAAAATACTCACAAAAATCTATAAAAAGGACAGCTGTCCCAAACAACATGCTTCTTTTTCAAATTTGAACATTTTCAATATGCAACTAATAATCCCATGGCTGCTTATACTATTTTGGTTAAAGATCTTCTGCAAAATACTCCTGAGGATGTAGATGTTGCACTAGCCCCCTATGATCTCCTGCAGACTACCGAAATATAACTTTTGAACACCTATCAGAAGTTACAGAGGGCATCCCAAAAAAGAAATAGGATCATGACTCTTGTATATGCTTACTATCTTGGGAAATTATTGGAAACAACTCCTAGCTGAACACAAAGATCTTACCTAAATTCACAGATCACCAGATATTATTCTTCAGATTCTACACGCACATATTACCTTTTTAGTAAAGTTGAAATCCATCAAATTTATAAAACCTGATTCACTACTCTTCACCAATTAGACAATTGTCCCACTCTGATTTTATTATCCTGACACAAGATTAAATTTGTGGAACTTATAGATTAGTGGGAGAGAATTGTTACACTTTGATTTTTGCCCAAGATCTTCAATACTCCTTGTGCGATTTTTACTAGCATTGACCCTTGAAATGTTAGTTATTCTAGAATAGTTTTGTATTACAGATTTGTTACTACACCTTCGGTATCTATTGTATCTATTGTACCTTTACCATTTCCAGAACATTTCTATTTTATTTTATCTTTACTTTCTATATTATCTTTGCCAAAGTATTTATCTATGTAAATGCTACTAT